CTCTGAGTTGGAAACCATGTGCTGGACTGTGCATGTCGAGTTTGTGTCAATCAAACTCTGGCATTATGTAATGCAGTTTTGGCTGATAAATTTTACTGTCTCAATATTTGTTTAATCACAAAAAATAATTTCTTCCCAAGCATGGGCATTCGATAACTCCAGGAATATTTATTTATTTATTTTTGGTTTTGCTATTTTTATTGCCTTTGTAATTACATTTGTTTTATATTCACCTGCAGTGAAGAATGAGATTTTTCGGAGGAGGAAGCTACTCCAGAGAAATGAACACTTTCATGAATATTTCATTGTCCTCTTTTCCCATCTGAAAAAAAATTGAGAAAATACGAGAATATTATGTTGCATGGTGCATAAGCTTATAAAAGCTGGAGGAAAACACCGGAATTCAGTTGTTTACTTACTGCTGTTATTGACTGTAGCGATTTCGCGTTGAGATCGGATTAACTTTTTCTACTTTGAATTTTGTTCCGGCCAACGTTTCCGTAAAACGTCCAATATAACTACTGTAAGTTATTGCGATATTGTAGAAATATCTGTGAGGATATTTCAGCATTGTGGTTCATTTGCTGTAGTAAGAATAAAATTTGCAATTGAATCTTGAATGAAATGAACTTTTGACGTCCTTGGCTTTTTAAAACTAGCCCCGCCCAAGGAGGAGGGGACTGACGCCTCCAGAATGGGAACATTAGAAAGGACCGCAAAATGATCCACTTGACTAGACAGAAATTGGTCATCCTTGTACACCTCTTTTTTTGTAACACAGGAGGAGGATGAAATAACGACATATCATAAAAAACCCCCAAGCAGCACTCGCTAACCTGAGTCTTCTGCACCCCCTTCTCCCCCCTGCACGAATGCTCAGGACTTTTGAAATATGAAAAATTGAAAGTGAATTCATCACGCCAGAGAATTCTGCATCGCTTCTCGGCCTTTTGGCTAAGATCAAAGTGTAGTATCTGTTCTTATCAGCTTAATTGTGCACTCATTTATTTTTATCTTCACAGTGGAATGTTGCTGATGGATTAACTTCACTCTTCTGGAGAACGGAGCTGAAGCGGAGCTAAAGCGGTCTGTAAGTATGGTTTTTGCTTTCTTTTCCCCTTCTCCCATTGACGCTTGATGGTTCGATTACGTTCCTTACTTGCGTTCAATGGGGCCCTTTCCCATCCTCTGCGAGCGAGCAGGTTACCTGTGAGCGAGTGGTTCCTTCCTGTCTGCACTGAATGTGCTGCTTGCAGCATACTTTGGTGTTTGTACGGTTCTTTCCTTTCCCTCCCCCTTTTGTTGCTGATTCGGCTGTTTTTAGTCGTTCTCAGTAAGGAAGTGGTTCCTTCCTATTATCTCTTGCTTCCCATTCAGGAAAACACTGCTTGCAGTGTCTTTCTTGCTTTGATAAGCCCTCTCATTTCGTTTCTGCTAACTCCCTCTTAATTGTGGGTGTGGCTACTCCTTTTCTTCTTTTCTCCTTCTTTGCTCTTCCACTTTTCACCTCCCCCCTTTTCCCCCTTTTTTTTTTTTTTTTTTTTTTTTTTTTTTTTTTTTTTTGACTCGCTGAAGCTTTGTTGGACGCTCCCAACTCCATGCTGCCTAGATTGATCTTGCCGAGAGGCCTCTTGTTTTCCTGCATTTCTGGGATTTCTTCACACGATTCAAGGATACGTTGATGATGTCGTCTCCACATCGCCTTGCTGCCCGGCCGAAGCCTCGACCACCCCCTGATGTCCGGAGCCCTGGTTCTAGATCTCCACCTTTTGCTAGATGCCCTGATGATTCCTCCGACCTCCCTAGTGGACTCCTGAACACTTCTTCTCTCGTCTCTGGAGTTTCCCCGCCCAGGCCTGCTGCGAGTGATGGCGCCTTTCCTGGAGTGCTCACTTCCCTACCTGTACAGCCCGATTGTTCCAGTTTGACTTCCCGTCAGTCCTGTGCCACCACTTTTGTCCCCAATGATGCGTTGCTGGATTCGAGTGCCGCTAATGGACTGTGTCTTCACAGAGAGGTTACCAATGTCTCTACGCCTCATCCTTTGCCACCCTGCTGATGGATGTCCACTGTCTACTTTGGACACGCCTCCTGGACCCCCTGGTGCTCCTCGTCATGTTGCTGCCTTTGTTACGCCTACAGTTCCACCCTTGGGAAGAAGCGGTCAAATCTGTGAGCTTCTCCGTAGAATTCGGGCCAGCAATACTGCTCCCTCCCCTCCGTTGACTGCTGTCACTTCTACAAGACATGACTCACCTATTGCTGCGGTTAAGTTTCCCACAATGCATGTCTCTTCCACATCCAGCTTGACGTCTTCATGTCATCCGGGGGAGATCTTGGATACTTTGCTTCCCTCTAATAGTCTTCAGAATATGTCTTCTTATGTCAGTCCTCGCAGTTATACTTCTCCAAGAGTCTGCACTATCTGCGGGAAAGCCTTCTCGCAGAAAAGAAAACTTGAAAAACACATCAGAACGCACCGTAGTGATGACTCCCGGACTCTACATGATGATTCCATCCTTCAGGCTTCTTCCTGCGCACCAAATGACATCACCGGTGAATCACCCGTCTGCCATCACACACCAGGTCACGTACGTACTGCTGCTGGCCACGCTTATCCACCTGTGAATGTTGCTTCCTCTGCAACGGGTTGCAATTCCTCTTCTCCTGTTCCACAGTCTGAGTGTCCGTCCGATTCAGCATCCTCCTGCGCTCCATGCCCTCACTGCGTGTCTTCTGCCCATGTGTCACCTGCACCGTCTGCTTCACCCCCTGCTTCTCCTGCTGACCCTGCTGATGTCTCCTTGCCGGATGATCCCGATGGGAGCTCCTCCCCCCGGTACCTTAGGACTCAAAATGAGGATTCTCAGGATGCCTCTGTCAGTCGTCCTGGCTGCTCATCTGACCCTGCTGGTGGCTCTCCTGCTGCTGATGGACCTACTGACTCAGTCCCACGCCAGCCTTCTCGAGAGGAGTCATCCTTGCTTGTCTTCTTTCCCATTCCCCCGAATTTCGTTTGCACAGAGACTGGATGCAGATTTGCCTACAGCAGTTGCAAGTGGACTGCACAGAGAAGATCACTGGAAAGGCATTTGCTTAATAACCATGATATTGAAATCCATTCAGTCAAAATACTTCTGCCTCCATTGCAACAACGCCATAAGTGGACGACCGTCACACCACTCCTGCCTCGCAAATGGACTACACCTTATGTCGCAGTCTGAGACTTCTTCAGTACAACGTAGATTCCAATGCCGGCTATGTGACAGGTCTTTCACTTCTAGGAAGGGCCTTGACAATCACCGGATGTATCACAGAAGACAGGATGCAAGGAACAGGAACTTGGCTACACTCACTTCAGCTGTACTTCCTGTCTCTCCTCGGGCTTCTACTACCAGTCCTAATGATGTTGCCCCAGCGATTGCAAGTAATCCTGATCCATCCGTGACGACTGTGCTACCTCCTGCAAGTCCATGCCCCCCATTGGCTTCTGTTGCTCCTGCTCCTGCTCTACAGGCCCCTCCTGCCTCCAGTGCCCTTTCCTGCTTCCTGCCAATCCTTGACAACATCCTGAACAGCGAGGTCACCAATGACTCCTGGGACCTCTTCCAGAACACACTCAATGAGATCATCGGGTTTGCACAGGGGGAATGCAGGCTTCAGTCGTCTGTTCCCACTCCCCAGCGGGCCCCTGTAAATATTGATGACGCCACTGCCTTACAGAAGCTTTACAGAAGGAATAGAAGGCGGGCGGCACGGCTTATTATGTCTGGCAATTCAAGGAACTGTGAAATTCCCCCTCTCACGCCTAGAGGAACACTTTAGCCACACCAGGACGGACAGAACTTTCAACAACTCCATCCTCAACTCTAGATCCCCGCCACAGATCTCTTCGCCGATTAATATGGAGCCTTTCACTGAAGCTGAGGTTATTACCAGGCTCAGAAGATTTGAGAACACGGCACCTGGGCCGGATCGACTCACTTACAACCATTGGAGATCTCTGGACCCGGAGGGATGCGTTCTGACTGTTCTCTTTAACATCTGCCTTCGGTTCCGTAGAATCCCTCACTCTTGGAAGAACTCTAGGAGCATCTTGATTTACAAGAAAGGCGACCCTGACGACCCGAATAACTGGCGACCGATTTCACTTTGTCGGACTATTGCAAAGATTTTCTCTGGCCTCCTTGCTACTAGACTGTCCGATTGGCTTGAATGCAATGACATCCTCCACCCAGGCCAAAAGGGATTTCGCCCATTTGATGGTGTTGTGGAGAACAACTTCCTGCTTCAAAAGAAGATGAATGATGCTAGAACACAGAAAAAAGACCTTTGTGTTGCGTGGATGGATATTGCTGACGCCTTCGGGTCCGTCCCACACTCAGCTATCTCTGACACTCTTGAGTACATTGGTGCTGGAAATCACTTCTGTAGCATCATCAAAGACATGTATGAAAATGTATCTACTGAATTCGTGTCAAACGACGGTACCACGCCCCCCATCCCAGTTCGCTCTGGCATCCTTCAAGGTGATCCTCTGAGTGGCGTTCTCTTTGTCACAACAATGGATCCCATTCTCTGGAACACGGCCTCTTCGGACAGCGGTGCTATTCTGGCATATGCAGATGACGTTGCCCTCCTTGCTTCCTCACCTGCTGAGCTTCAGTCACTGATCAACAAATTCTCCACTTCATGTGACTTACTTACTCTCGCTTGGGATTAATGGAACTAAGTGCGCCTCCCTTCACCTGACCGGTTGCAGACCTGCTGGCACTCGACCCACGCAGTTCAACATCAATGGACAGCCCATCCGCCACCTCAATGATGGAGAGACTTGCGACTTTTTGGGAAAGCCAGTTGGATTCCTGGGAGAATGTGGCACTCCTTCCAGCATCGAGCGGTTCATTGGAAATGGACGGAGACTCCTGACATCAAAATTGGCACCCTGGCAGAGATTGGATGCCGTTAAAACATTCCTGTACCCATCCTTCACCTTTGCAATGCGCACATCCCAGATTCCTAAGGGAGAGTGGGAAAAGCTCGACAAGGTCTTACGACCGCTTTTGAAAGACACTCTCTATCTCCCTCACCGTGCCACTAATGACTACCTTTATGGAAGCCCGGCCAGTGGAGCTGTTAACTTGCCGATGGCTGCTGAGGAATCAGATATCTTTGCGATAGATACAGCGTTCAAGCTTCTGACTTCGCGTGACACCTTTGTACGTTCTTTGGCCTGGGAGGATCTAAACGATACTGTGAGACATCGCTTGCAACTGCGGGATGAGGACCCGGATGTTGCTGCCTTCCTCTCTGGCACTACTGATGGAGAATTCCGTAGAAGCAGCAACCGTATTGGGAACATCTGGACTGCTGCTCGTGCTGCCTCCAGGAGATTGCAGGTCAAGTGGACGATTCAGAATTGCCTCCCTGTCATCGAAGCCGGTGATTTTTCAGCTACAGCTACAGCAGTACACCGCCGCAATATTGCCACCTCGATCAGGAAGTCCTGTAAATCCGTCAGAGATGAACGCCTCCTGTCTCTCCCCAATCAAGGAAAAACATTGGAATGTGTTGCCGCCTCAAAAGCCTCCACCCACTTTTTGCAATCTGGAAGTTACACTCGATTTGCTGATTGGAGGTTCGTCCATAAGGCCCGACTGAATCTTGTTAGCCTTAATGGCGCCAAGCCATGGTCGAACCTTGACCCAAGATGTCGCCGTTGTGGAGCCGACAGAGAAACTCTCCCACATGTTTTAGATCATTGCATGGCATACTCAACCCTCTACAAAGAGCGACACAATGCGATTGTCGATCGCCTAATCAAGATGTGTGAGAGAGACTTCAACATCATTTCTGTGGACCAGTCCCTTAACACCTCACGGCTTAGGCCTGACCTCCTTGTTGAAAGGGATGGACAACACTTCCTCATTGACGTTACAATCCCCTTCGAAAACCACTTGGGTGCCTTTGCTGAAGCGAGAGCCAGAAAGCTTGAAAAATATGAAATGCTCCGTGCTTCCATCGCCCAAGAACGTGGACACTGCGTGATCGTTCCATTCGTCATAGGTGCACTGGGGTCATGGGATCGTGCGAATGATAAATTCATCATCAACATCGCCTGTTCCCGTTCCTATGCCCGCCTCCTTCGGATGCTATGCGTCAGCGATGTAATCCGCCATAGCAGGAATATCTACGTTGGACATTTAAGTGGAAGAAGTGAAGTCACACTACTCACCGAGGCAAATCCTCCAAATAATGAACAAAGCCACTCCCAGGCAAATGAAAATTAGGTACGAACTGTAAATTCTTACGAACTTGTGCCTTTTGCAAATCCTGGACTGTTTGAACTCTGACTCATGAACTTTGACACATGAACTTTGACTAGTGAACATTGACATGCAATCTTAGCCAACACGGTATGTTAAAACAAGAAAATGATGTATGTCACATTTACGCATCACCATCAGTTGTATATATTATATTTTATATTTTATGTTTTATTTCATGTATATAATCTACAATTTGTAATACTTTTGCTGTATTGCACTTCACGTATACATTTTTACTCTGTAATGATATACTAAATTCTTGTTGAACGCTGTACTTGATTGTACATAGTCTGTAAATATTGTTAATATTAGCTCAATAAAATTGGTTTTATCTGTTCTTATCAGCTTAATATCTGATACGACGTCGACATGACGTCAAGATATTAAACTAATTTTTGCAGATAGGCTTGTGGTTAGGAATTTATTCCGCCCTCGCCACGGGTTGGCCTGCTATGGCACTACTTGCAGGATACGGCCCACAATATATCCAAAAAGCAGAAACTTCACTCACCCACTGCATCCTCAGGAAAACGTCCTTTTAAAATGGCCCCTTCAAATTTCAGAAAACCGAAGGTCTGACAACATCATACCTTTGTACGAGTGTGCGGCGACCTGCCTTTTTTTTAACTTTACTCGGGCCCCTCGTTCTTTTCCTCGGAATGGGAACATTCTGGAGCCTCGGGTTTAACCCTCGTTCTTTTTCTCCCTCAGGGGGCTCACTTTTGTGAGTACGGGTGTGGCAATCCCGAGGTACCCTAGCCCTTCAGGGGATCATCTTCTTGGTGAGACGGGTGTCACGATCCTGGAGCCCCAGTGATCTATCCTCTTTTCCGTCTCCTCTCCTCTTGGCTGGAACTTTTTCCCTTCCCTTCTCCCTTGTGGTTTCTCTCTACGGAGTTTGGGGCTCGTCACGAGAGGCTGGAACAGACCTTGTTCTCTAGTTTTCGAGTGGCGAGAAAACTGCCCACGTGTTTGCCGTGCGTGGAGACCCGTGTCGCTGGAAAGGAGGGTCCTGGTAGTTGAGGGGCGAGGTACTGTCCCCAACACACTGCTTTGGCCTCTGCTTCAGCTAAACGGGAGGCACCTTAGTCGTCCTCACGGGTGTCAATCGGCTGGTCACTAGTCCTTGTGTCAGTGGCTTGGGGTCAAGCTCTCGGGAGTACCTGCTTTCGGGAAAGCCGACTGTGGGGCTTCAGTTTGCGTATAGGTCCGGCTAGCCCTAACACAGGAATCTGTGTTCCCTTGTTGGGCTCCGTGGTGGGCGGGGCCGTCGGACCCGAATCTTTATTCTTTCACTATGGCTTCTTCTCATATTTACTTAATTAAAGATTTCGAGGTAACTCCAGTCATCAAACTAGTTCTGAAACGTCTACACTAAACCAGTCACTCAACCTAGTTCTGAAACGTCTACTGCTAAACCAGTCACTCAACCTAGTTCTGAAACCATCTACTAATAAACCAATCATTCAACCTAGTTCTGAAACGTCTACTACTAAACCAGTCACTCTCAAACCTGTCACTCAACCTAGTTCTGAAAATTCTGCAAAAAAATTACGGACAGATGCAAATAAAAAAATCATAACAATAGTCCCCGTTTCCTAGTCATCTCTAGTCCTTCCTTCTGGCGAAATGCATAAGATGTCTCCTTTCGTAATAAACAAATACATCCAGTCTTGTATTGGTGAGCCGAGAAATATAAAGCGTCTCCGCTCCGGAGACTTGCTTATTGATACAACCTCAGCCACCCAGTCTGCTTCTTTACTTCAGATTACTAAACTTGGGCAAGCGAATGTCACTGTAACACCACATAAGACACTGAATTATTGTCGTGGGGCGTAATCTCGGAATTCGACCTTCTGTATGTTTCCTGAAGAAGAGATCGCTTCCGAGCTATCCGACCAAAATGTCTGCGGTGCTAGGCGGATCAAGATGCGTAAGGAAGGTAAGTTGATCGATACGAAACACGTGATCCTTACCTTCAACACGCCTGATCTGCCTAAGAATATTAAGGCCGGATATCTAAATTGTCCTGTAAGACCTTATATTCCCAACCCTATGCGATGCTTCCAATGCCAGCGTTTCGGCCATTCTAAGACGTCTTGTCGTGGCAGCCTCACATGCGCCCGATGCTCACAGATTGGCCACGATTCTGAAAATTGTACCGCTGCGCCTTTCGTGTATAAATTGCAAGGGTGAGCACCCAGCATTTTCACGCCTCTGCCCAAAATGGAAATCCGAAAAAGAAGTGTACAGACTGCTTAAAGTTACCAGGAACATCTCGTATGCCTGAAGCCAGAAGAACTAGTTCAAAGCACACAGCTCCAATCAAACAAATCTTATGCCAGTGCAGTTAAAACAACTCGTACATTGCCACCCAAACATCAATAGGCACGCAGACCCTAAACCAAATAAAACCCAACCAACCTACATCCAACCAAGAAAACGGAAAATGCAACTCATTTAATACAAAAAAAGAAACAGTCATTCAAAGTAAACCAAAATTGAAAGTCACAAAATAATTAATAAAAATAGAAGTCCCAGCAATAGCTCTTTTGATGAAATGATTTCTGAATCTGCGGATTCAGACTTTATGGAAGTAGAAGAGGGTCTAGAATTTCCCAGGCATCTACTTCCACGAAAAACCAAACAAGAGCACAGAAAGAACAAAAACCATTCATAATGGCCACCCTCGTCTCATGGAACTGTCGCGGTTTCCACCGAAATTTGCTCGACATCAAAGCCATAATTAATGCTTATCATCCTGTATGCTTCGCAATACAGGAAACAAATCTAAAACCAGAACAACATGCAAAACTTCGGAGGTTTTCTTTCGTCAGGAAAGATAACCTTGCAGGTGAGCGTGCCAGTGGAGGTGTAGGTCTCCTCTCACCTCACTGGATTATCCCTCAAATGTACTTTCTTTGACGACATCCCTCCAAGTTGTCGCTACTCAAACAAATTTTGATTTTGTTGTTCAGTCGTTTTTCTCTGTATTTGCCTCCAAATGAGCATATTGATCAGCAAGATTTAAATGGTCTTTTAGAGCAGCTGCCTGAGCCTTTCATCATAATAGGAGATTTTAACGGCCATAGTCCGCTCTGGGGTAGTAAAGGATACAAATTGCCGAGGAAGACAAATTGAGCAGATGATCGAAGATCATAGCCTTTGTCTCCTAAATAATGGGCAAGATACTTACTTCCATGAGCCTTCAAGGACATTCCACGCTCTCGACCTTGCCATCTGTTCACCATCTCTGTTGCCATTTTGCACTTTTAGTGTGGGAAATGACCTTTACAACAGCGATCATTATCCCATTTTTGTGTCTCTTGCACGAAGAGGAGCAAACCCCATGTCGAGATCCCTCGTTTCATACTGGACAGGGCAGACTGGGAACTCTTCTCTTCCATTGCAGAGCTCACAGATGAAATGGTAGAAGATGCGCATATCGATGACGCTGTTGAAGCTGTTACTAATACTATTATTCAGGCAGCTATGCTTTCGATTCCTAGAACATCAGGAAAAACTACTAAAATATTCGAAACCATGGTGGAATCGCGACTGTCATGAAGCACTGAAAAAACAGAAAAAAGCATGGGGTATTTTTCGTAGATATCCTACTCTGCGAAACCTCATAGCCTTTAAAAGAGCCAAAGCAAATGCACGAAAAGTAAGAAGGCAGAGCCAGAGGGATTCCTGGATTTCATATGTGTCCGTCAATAACATCCTCCACGCCTAGTAAGCGGGTTTGGGAAAGAGTTCGAAAAGCATGCGGCATATATAAAGACCACTCACTTTCCTTTTTGGAAAAAGATGGCCGAGTGATTAGCTCCATAGAAGAAATTGCAAATACTATTGGTGAGACATTTGCTGCCGTTTCTTCCAGCAGAAACTATACACCTGCATTTCTTTCTATCAAGCAGCACTCTGAAATAAATCCCATCGCTTTCAACTCTTCCAAATCTGAGCCTTACAATAGAGACTTTACTATGCTTGAATTAAGGAGAGCTTTATTGCAGACACATAGGTCTTCTTCTCCGGGTCTTGATGGAGTGAATTATGAAATGCTAAAGCATCTGTCCTGTAAGTCACTGAATGCCCTTCTCACACTTTACAATAGAGTGTGGAAGGAGCGTACATTTCCCAGTGCATGGAGGAGAGCTGTTGTCATTCCTATTGCTAAGCCAGGGAAAGACCCAAGGAATCCCTCCAACTATCGGCCAATTGCCCTTACCGAGTTGCCTCTGCAAACTGTTTGAAAAGATGGTAAACAGCCGCCTAGTCTACTTCTTGGAAAAGAATGATATTATATCGCCTTATCAGAGTGGTTTTCGAAAGGGAAGAACAACTGTAGATAACATGCTCCTCTTAGAGACATCTATTCGAAAAGCATTTGTAAGAAGAAGCCACCTTGTCTCGATATTCTTCGACATTGAAAAAGCTTATGATAAGGCATGGAGATACGGTATACTCCGGGATCTTCACGAGAGTGGCTTGCGCGGCAACCTACCAATTTTTCATTCAAAATTTCTTGAACACTAGAACTTTTCAAGTAAGAATTGGCTCTGTTTTTTCGGATGTTTTTGAACAGGAAGAGGGTGTGCCTCAAGGCTGTGTGCTCAGTGTAACCCTGTTTAGTTTAAAAATAAATTCTGTACTAAAAGAACTTCCTCCCACCATCTTGGGATCTCTATATGTTGATGATCTGCAGATTAGCTGTCGAGGAGCAGACATGAGATATGTAGAGAGGCAACTGCAGATGGCTCTGAATTAAGATCCAAGAATGGTCAGACAAACAGGGATTTACATTTTCGAAACAGAAAACTGTCTGCGTGCACTTTTGTAGGAAGCGAGGTCTCCATCCTGAACCTGAGTTATACTTGAATGGTACAATTATTCCAGTTGCGCCTGAAGTAAAATTTTTAGGAGTGACGTTCGACGACCGAAAATTGACTTTCCTTTCTCATGTTTTAAACCTGAGAAAGAAGTGTCTAAAAACACTAAATATTTTAAAAGTGTTGGCGAACACCTCCTGGGGTGCAGAGCGTTGCTCCATGCTTCGCATTTACAGAGCGCTTATCCGCTCTAAACTGGACTATGGCTCAGTTGTTTATGGATCCGCTCGGTCATCTGTTTTGTTAAAACTGGATCCTGTTCACCATCAAGGTCTGCGGATTTGTTCAGGAGCTTTCAGGACTTCTCCTGTGCAGAGCCTATATGTTGACTGTAACGAACCATCACTTTATCTGAGGCGTGAGCAATTGTCCCTTTTGCAATATTTTAATACTCTATCTCAACCTGAACATCCCAATAAGCTGTGCTTACTTGATAATGAGTGTAACACATTATTTGAAACACGTCCATCCTGTGTTCCTACTTTCCCTTTAAGAGTTCGCCCTGTCATTGAGGAACTCTCCCTCTCTGATATGCACCCCCAAGCAGTACAGAATTTTGAAATTCCACCTTGGGAAAATTCACGGATCCAGCTTCTTGATGTTTTTAAACATCACGTAAAGGCGAGCACTAACGAGATCGTTTACAGACAAATTTTCGCTGAGCACAGGCACAAATATAGCAGTTATTATCCGATATACACAGATGGATCAAAGTCAAATGATCATGTCGGGATGGCTTTTGTATTTGAAAATTACATAGAGGGCAGATGCCTGCACCATGCTTTCTCTGTCCTAACATCTGAACTAACTGCAATATATTATGCTCTTTTGTACATCTCAAAGCTCTGCCACAAAAAGTTCATAGTTTACACAGACTCGTATAGTGCTCTTAAATCCTTGGAAGCTTTTCCCAACGCTCAGAATCCTGTGGTAGTGGATGTTCTCAAAATTCATAGAAATTTAATGATACGAGGATATGAAATCCTGTACTGCTGGGTTCCCGGGCATACGGGAATAAAGGGAAACGAGCTTGCAGACATCGCGGCAAAATCTGCTGTCGAACTGTCCAGTCGCCTTATCCCTTTTAGAGACATCTGCTGTGTCATCAAGGGAAAGATACGAAAAAAATGGCAGCAAATTTGGGATGTTCAGCATCACAACAAGTTGAGAAACAATCAAACCTAGAATTGAGCATTGGGATTTTGCTGGAAATCGTAAAGAGGACGTTCTTTTGACTCGCCTCAGAATTGGTCATACCAGAGTCACACATAGCTATCTTCTTAAAGCTGAAAATGAGCCTGTTTGTTTTAATTGTAATGTTTGTTTATCTGTTCGTCATATTTTAATTGAGTGTCCATGTTTTAATAGTCTTCGCCAGAAATATTTTAATAGCTGTGACTTACCTCTCGACCGTTTAATCGGAAGAGAGGTCAATTCTAATTTATTTTATTATTTAAAAGAGATTGGCTTTTATTACCACTGTGTCATGTGCTTTTAAATATGTGGATTTGGCTCGAATATTCGTATTTACAGAAATCCCATAAAATCCACATTTTTTTCCCGTACTGTTAACAACTTACTCATTCTGTCTGACTGATTGAAGGAAGATCGGCCTCGAAATATCACTCAAATTTCATTTGCAGTAACATTTTTGTCTCATTTCATGTAAGTTTGAGAGAATTCCTATTCACATTTGCCAGATCTTTCCCACTACAGCGCGCGTATACACATTGCTTCTTTCAACACACGAGCCTTTTTATTGTAAATAACTCTCAAAAGGGTGTAAAATGTTTGTAGGCACACTGCAGCAACAAAGATTTTTCTGTCTGTTTCCTAATGTTTTGTTTGTTTGTTTGTCTCTGTATGATTTCTAAACGCCAGCTAATTGTAATGGTCTACAATTATTGTTAAGGATTGTTGTATTTATGTTTTTATTCATTCATTCATTTATTTTGTTGGCACATTAATATTAACAAACGGGAAAATGCCAATAGATGGCTGCACTATGCAGGAAGCAGTTTATTCTGAGTTTTGAGATGGCTTGCCCGCCACTAGTGTGGAAGTGTAGAATACAAAGTAATCATTAATTGTAAATTAAAAAGTACTGTTTTATTGTACATATTACAAATGAATTTGTAAAGTGTTTTTTGTAATTTTTCTGTTTGTTTAATTGTTTTAAGTTCCTAATATTTCACTCTGTGTTTTCAAGTGCAACGTTTGAACTGAAGAGAGAGAGAGTATCTCTGAGTTGGAAACCATGTGCTGGACTGTGCATGTCGAGTTTGTGTCAATCAAACTCTGGCATTATGTAATGCAGTTTTGGCTGATAAATTTTACTGTCTCAATATTTGTTTAATCACAAAAAATAATTTCTTCCCAAGCATGGGCATTCGATAACTCCAGGAATATTTATTTATTTATTTTTGGTTTTGCTATTTTTATTGCCTTTGTAATTACATTTGTTTTATATTCACCTGCAGTGAAGAATGAGATTTTTCGGAGGAGGAAGCTACTCCAGAGAAATGAACACTTTCATGAATATTTCATTGTCCTCTTTTCCCATCTGAAAAAAAATTGAGAAAATACGAGAATATTATGTTGCATGGTGCATAAGCTTATAAAAGCTGGAGGAAAACACCGGAATTCAGTTGTTTACTTACTGCTGTTATTGACTGTAGCGATTTCGCGTTGAGATCGGATTAACTTTTTCTACTTTGAATTTTGTTCCGGCCAACGTTTCCGTAAAACGTCCAATATAACTACTGTAAGTTATTGCGATATTGTAGAAATATCTGTGAGGATATTTCAGCATTGTGGTTCATTTGCTGTAGTAAGAATAAAATTTGCAATTGAATCTTGAATGAAATGAACTTTTGACGTCCTTGGCTTTTTAAAACTAGCCCCGCCCAAGGAGGAGGGGACTGACGCCTCCAGAATGGGAACATTAGAAAGGACCGCAAAATGATCCACTTGACTAGACAGAAATTGGTCATCCTTGTACACCTCTTTTTTTGTAACACAGGAGGAGGATGAAATAACGACATATCATAAAAAACCCCCAAGCAGCACTCGCTAACCTGAGTCTTCTGCACCCCCTTCTCCCCCTGCACGAATGCTCAGGACTTTTGAAATATGAAAAATTGAAAGTGAATTCATCACGCCAGAGAATTCTGCATCGCTTCTCGGCCTTTTGGCTAAGATCAAAGTGTAGTATCTGTTCTTATCAGCTTAATCTGACGTCTTATTTTGTTCTTTTTTCAGATTTCCAGACACCATGCTGATGGAATAGTTTACTCGTCTGGTGGACGGAGCTGAAAGCGGAGTCGAGGTGGATCCTACGTAAGTTTTGCTTTCTTTCTCTCTCTCTCTCTCTCCCCTCCCATTGACGCTTGATGGTTCGAATACGTTCTTTACTTGCGTTCAATGGGGCCCTTTCACCTGTGAGCGTGCAGGTTGCCTGTGAGCGAGCAGGTTCTTTCCCGTCTACACTGAATTATACTGCTTGCAGTATATTTCGGTGCTGGGCGGGGCCTAACTTTTCTTCTCCTTTCTTACTGCTTCGGCTGTTTTTTTCAGTCGTTCCCTAGTGAGAAATGGTTTCTTTTCTATGTCTTCTCGCTTTTCATTTCAGAAATACTCCGTTTACGGTGTCTTTTCTGTTTTGATAAGCCCTGAAACTTCCTTTCCGCTGCCTCACTCGTCCGGGTGGGCGTGGCTTCGACTTTACTCTCTCCCTACTTTTCCTTCCTTCTTCTTTTGCTCTTTCCCTCGTTTTCCTCCTTCTTCTTTTGCTCTTCCCTCCTTTTCTTTTCCTCGTTCTTATCTTCCTTTCTTGGGTCCACCAAAAGCCCCAATTGAAGCTCCCCCCGCTGCCTCACTTTGATCTTGCCAATTGGATAATTTGCTAGTTATTTGTGTTACTGTTTCTTTAGTTTTTTCAGCTATGTCTGATCCTGCGTCAGCGCATCAGATCATTTTGCCAGAGAGGCCGCCTCGCCTTCCTTCTCCGACTACTCCTGGTCTCCCTCCGATGCCATCTGTCCTTGGTGGACTGCCACAGAGTGCTGGATGCCCCGATGGATCGCTGGACACGACGCCACGCAGACCTCTGAGCCATTTGCCCGCTTCTGGTCACTCCTCCGTGATGACAACGCGGTCTGGTAGTCTTCACCCTGCTCCTGCTCCACGTCGCCACATCTCTGCCGCTGCTGTTCCCTCTGGTCCTCCTCTGCTGAGAAGTGGTTCCCTGTGCCAGATGCTCTCCATCATCTCTGCCAGGACGTCTGCCTCCTCTCGCATCTGCAATGATGTCTTCGCTTCCCGCTCCCGGACTTCGCCTCCTTCGGAAACGCTCACTGCACCGCTCGTGCCTCTTACTTCGGCTCCATCCTTACCTTCTCCTGGCTCCATCCCTGCTACCAGTGCCCCTTCTTCAGATTCCCCAGTGTGTCACCACACAAGATCACGTGCTGCTGCTGGACACTCCTGCTCGCACACTTCTCCGACCAAGTCTCCTGTTGCTGCTGACACGCTGGTTGCTCGATCTGCCACTTCTACTTCTCCTTCGGGTAGTCCAACAGTTCGTTCGCCGTCCTCTGCGATCTCTGCTGATGAAACTCCTAGTGCTTCCTCCTCTCCTGTTCCTGCTCCTGCAACTTCTGGCGACAGAGCGTCTCTCCTGTTTTCCGACGAATCTGCTTCTAGGCGGGGGTCTCCTTCACGCCCGGATTCTGGTATTTCTCCTCCTGCTGCTGTGCCCGCGTCTCCTGGTGTCTCCACTTGCTCTTCTCCGGTTGACTGTCCAACGTGTGGTAAGTCGTTCCTCAACAAGAGACAGCTACGCTTTCACCGCTTCCGCCGTCATCGCCTTGCTCCTCCTCCCGCCTCTCCTGGTGCTGCTGACTTCTCTTCCACTGGCCATCCGCAGCTCCCGTCTACTTCTCTTCAAGCCTCACCGCCTCCTTCCAATGCTCCATCTTCAGGCGCTCCTATTCCTTCTACTACGTGCCGCGAGGGTTACCACGCTCCATCTCGTCTTTCCTGTAAGCGATGTCTTCACGTGCACAGAGCCCAATTGCAGCCTCCTGTTCCGCTCCAACTCCTGGTCCTGCATGAAGAGATCCCTCACCAGACACCTTCTCCAGGAACATCTGACCCCCATTTCTTCATGCATGAAATGGTGCAGCCTTTGCAACTCCCGGCTTGCCAACAAGGTTTCTGTCCATGCCTGTTTCCGCACCTCGCCTCCCGTCATCTCCACTGGTGCCTCTTTCCGCTGGAAGTGTACAGTTTGTCCGTTCTCGTGTCCTTCCCGGAAAGGGTTATTCAACCACTCCGAATTCCACCGGCGTGCTGAGAGGAACTCTTCTATTGACCACAACACACAACATTCATCTTCCTGCTCCTGTGCCTCAGCGACAGCGCCGTAGACAGCCGCACCCTCCACCTGGTGCCTCTTCTTCACCCGCTGACGTGTCCTCCAGATCTCCGGCTACGTCCGCTCCAGCTCCTCCTGTGACTTCTGTGGACGCTCCTTCTTCACCTGCTCCAGTCCCATCTCCTTGCTCTTCCGATTCGTCTCCTGCTGTATCGGCCTCTCACTCCCTGCCACCTTCTCCTCCCGACGTCTCCAGGACTACTCCTGATGCTCCTCGTCCAGGGCTTCTTCATCCCTCTTCGGCCGCTCATCCTGCTCCTGTGTCGACTTCTGCCTCACCTGCTGCCTCCTCCTCCCGTGCTGTTGTTCCCCCTGATTGCCTCGTCTCTGCATCTCCTCCCTCCTCTTCGTCACCTGCTGATGACACACAATCTTCTGCCGTCTTCCCCACTTCCGAGTTTCCTGATGTCGACCTTCATGAGGTTGTCCCCGTTGTGGCCGCTGAAGACCCTGCTCGTATTCCTCCGGCAGACGAAATTCCGGTCACTGAGCCTCCTCTCCTGAACTTCTGGGATTCGCTGCATAGCTTTTCTTCTGGGACTACTGACGATGATGCTTGGGACTCCTTTGAGGCCTGCCTTCTGAACGTCACGGAGTCTGCCTCAGAAATTGTCAAGCTCCCTCCTCCTTCTCCTCCTGTGCCTGGTTCTCCGCGCCCGGTCAACACCTCTAATCCTCGGGTCATTCAACGTTTTATACCGGAGAAATCGTCGCAGAGCCATCCGTCTCCTTTCCTCTGACAGCTCTCCTCCTTGCTCCATTCCTGCAGAAGAGATCGCCCTCGAATTCTCCTCAAGGTACTCCGCCAGAGACTCCGACTCATCTATCTTCACTACCTGTATCCCGGAACGTCCTCCTCTCGATTTGTCTCCTTTCTCTCCTGCCGAGGTTCTTGCCAAGCTTCGCTCCTGTGAGAACTCTGCGCCCGGCCCTGACCGCCTCTCGTATGCCCACTGGCGAGAGGCTGATCCAGACTGCAAGATCTTGAGTGAGATATTCAACATCTGTCTTCGCTTCCGGCGTGTTCCGTCCTCATGGAAATCTTCCCGTTCGTTCCTCATCTTCAAGAAAGGGGACCCGTCGGTGATTGACAACTGGAGGCCAATTGCCCTCAGTTCTTCAATTGCTCGCCTTTTCTCTGGATGTCTAGCGAAACGGTCTCACGCACTGGTTATGTGACAACGAGATTCTCCACCCCTCACAGAAAGGATTCATGCCGCACGATGGGGTTCTTGAGCACAACTTCATCGTCCAGCAAGCGGTTCCAGCTTGCCCGTAGGACGAAGTCTGAGCTCTGTCTGGCCTCTCTCGACATTGCCAACGCCTTCGGCTCGATCCCGCACTCTGCGATCTTCACTGCACTACTACTCACGTCTGGTGTCGGGGAGGACTTCGTCTCCTTAATCCAAGACCTCTACAGGAATTCCTCTACCTGCTTCCTCTCTTCCGACGGTGTTTCTGGCCCTGTTGACATCAATGCCGGTGTTCGTCAGGGGTGTCCCTTGAGCGGCCTCCTGTTTAACCTGGCCATTGATCCTGTTCTCCGCTCTGTTGGCTCTTCTCCTTCCTCGCCTCGTGTCCTCGCCTTCGCCGATGACGTCCTCCTGCTCGCTCCTTCTCCCAACGTTCTTCAGGATGACCTGGATCGCATTTCTGACGTCTTCTCTCGTCTTGGTCTTCAGCTTAATCCCGGTAAATGCCACACACTTCACCTTGATGCTTCTCGCCCTGCTAGAGTGCGTCCGACCGTCTTCTACCTGGATGGCATCCCTATCCACGCCCTTGGTGATGGTGATCACTTCCGTTTCCTCGGGAAACCCGTGGGCTTCCACCTTCCACCTCTCCGTGCGCAGCTACGTGATTTCTTGATCCTGGCTAAGAAGATTATGGACTCGAAGCTCGCTCCGTGGCAACGCCTGGATGCAATGAAGACTTTCTTTTTTTCCCTCTCTCCTCTTCTTCATGAGGACTTCGCAGCACGCTAAGGGAGACTGGAAGAAGATTGACGATTTTCTGCGTCCTGCCCTCAAGAAGACCCTGAATCTTCCTCCCGAGGCATCTAACAATTATCTTTATGGCCTTTCCGGCAAAGGTGCCCTTGGCATTCCACTCGCTGCGGAGGATTCAGACATCGCTGCCGTCGACTCTGCCTTCAAGCTGCTCTGCGCTAGAGATCCCTTTGTTCGTGCTTCCGCCTGGGATGATCTGACCTCCTTCGTCCGTGCACGCATCGGATTCGCTCCTTCTCCTGAGTTAGTGGCACAGTTCCTGTCTGCTTCGGACGAGGCTCCCTTTGCCGCCTCTTGCAATTCCATCTCCTCTACGTGGTCTGCCGCAAGGTCCGCATCTCGGCGCCTCAAGATTGTTTGGACTATCGATGCTGGTGGGTCTCCCTCCATTTCCTGTGGTCCTAACACCATCTTCCCGAGCCAGAAGCACACCATCTTCCGGGCTTTCCGGACCCTATGACGGGCTACCCGTATTAGTGACCTGTCCCTCCTCCCGAACCAGGGTAAGGCCATGGAATGTGTTGCCGTCTCGCGCTCGAGCTCGCACTTCTTCAGAGAGGGGTCCTTCACGCGCTTCGCGGACTGGAGATTTGTTCACCGTGCCAGGCTGAACCTGGTACCTCTCAATGCCTGCAAGCCCTGGGACCGTTCACGCCGTGGATGTCGCCGTTGCAATTTCAGTGAAGAAACGCTCCCACATGTCCTCAACCACTGTATGCGTTATTCTTCCATTTGCGGCGTCACAATGCTGTGGTTGAACGGCTGAAGAAGGCCGCGAGTGGGCGCTGGGATGTGCTCTTCTGCAACCAAGTCTTCCCTGGTACTTCTCTCCGCCCCGATCTGGTTCTTCGCAAAGGCTCCTCCGCTCTGGTAATCGACGTCACCATCCCGTTCGAGAATAGGCTTGCTGCTTTTTCTTCCGCCAGAGAGGAGAAGATTTCCAAGTACCGTCCGGTTGCTGAGCTGCTCAGGAAAGACTACACCGATGTTCAGATTCATCCCATCATCATTGGTTCTCTCGGCTCTTGGGACGACAAGAACGATAGAGTGCTACGCAGGCTGTGCAGCAACAAATACGGAAACCTTTTGAAGAAACTCGCAGTTAGCGAAACTATTAAATTTTCTAGGGACGTGTATGTTGAGCACCTCACTGGGGTAAAACAGTCCTAATTAGGCACTGTTGGACTCAGTGACAGCTTGTCGGATGCGGTCATGGGACAACTCTTGTATAAAGGACTTTCACAGTTATGCAAATTTTGTAAATATTGTAAATATGTACATATCTCTCACAACAAATAAATATGAAACCTAAAATCGCACTGTGTGCGTTGTTGGTATAGCATGCCATGGTCTTACCAACACTATGTAAAATGGCAAGAAACATTTGTTAATAAAAATTTTCTGTTCTTATCAGCTTAATATCTGATACGACGTCGACATGACGTCAAGATATTAAACTAATTTTTGCAGATAGGCTTGTGGTTAGGAATTTATTCCGCCCTCGCCACGGGTTGGCCTGCTATGGCACTACTTGCAGGATACGGCCCACAATATATCCAAAAAGCAGAAACTTCACTCACCCACTGCATCCTCAGGAAAACGTCCTTTTAAAATGGCCCCTTCAAATTTCAGAAAACCGAAGGTCTGACAACATCATACCTTTGTACGAGTGTGCGGCGACCTGCCTTTTTTTTTAACTTGATATTGCTCGGGCCCCTCGTTCTTTTCCTCGGAATGGGAACATTCTGGAGCCTCGGGTTTAACCCTCGTTCTTTTCAAGTGTCAAGTTCTGGTTTCTGTAAATACGAAGTTTTTATTCGTATTTACAGAAATCCCATAAAATCCACATTTTTTTCCCCGTACTGTTAACAACTTACTCATTCTGTCTGACTGATTGAAGGAAGATCGGCCTCGAAATATCACTCAAATTTCATTTGCAGTAACATTTTTGTCTCATTTCATGTAAGTTTGAGAGAATTCCTATTCACATTTGCCAGATCTTTCCCACTACAGCGCGCGTATACACATTGCTTCTTTCAACACACGAGCCTTTTTATTGTAAATAACTCTCGAAAGGGTGTAAAATGTTTGTAGGCACACTGCAGCAACAAAGATTTTTCTGTCTGTTTCCTAATGTTTTGTTTTGATTCTCTGTATGATTTCTAAACGCCAGCTAATTGTAATGGTCTACAATTATTGTTACGGATTGTTGTATTTATGTTTTTATTCATTCATTCATTTATTTTGTTGGCACATTAATATTAACAAACTTGGGAAAATGCCAATAGATGGCTGCTATGATTGAAGTATGTAATGCAGTTTTGGCTGAAATTTTACTGTCTCAATATTTGTTTAATCACAAAAAAATAATTTCTTCCCAAGCATGGGCATTCGATAACTCCAGGAATATTTATTTATTTATTTTTGGTTTTGCTATTTTTATTGCCTTTGTAATTACATTTGTTTTATATTCACCTGCAGTGAAGAATGAGATTTTTCGGAGGAGGAAGCTACTCCAGAGAGAGAAATGAACACTTTCATGAATATTTCATTGTCCTCTTTTCCCATCTGAAAAAAAATTGAGAAAATACGAGAATATTATGTTGCATGGTGCATAAGCTTATAAAAGCTGGAGGAAAACACCGGAATTCAGTTGTTTACTTACTGCTGTTATTGACTGTAGCGATTTCGCGTTGAGATCGGATTAACTTTTTCTACTTTGAATTTTGTTCCGGCCAACGTTTCCGTAAAACGTCCAATATAACTACTGTAAGTTATTGCGATATTGTAGAAATATCTGTGAGGATATTTCAGCATTGTGGTTCATTTGCTGTGTAGTAAGAATAAAATTTGCAATTGAATCTTGAATGAAATGAACTTTTGACGTCCTTGGCTTTTTAAAACTAGCCCCGCCCAAGGAGGAGGGGACTGACGCCTCCAGAATGGGAACATTAGAAAGGACCGCAAAATGATCCACTTGACTAGACAGAAATTGGTCATCCTTGTACACCTCTTTTTTTGTAACACAGGAGGAGGATGAAATAACGACATATCATAAAAAACCCCCCAAGCAGCACTCGCTAACCTGAGTCTTCTGCACCCCCTTCTCCCCTGCACGAATGCTCAGGACTTTTGAAATATGAAAAATTGAAAGTGAATTCATCACGACACAAAATTCTGCATCGCTGCTCGGCCTTGTGCCATTAAATGGAGCAGACCGGAGATTTAACAGTATCAAAGGATGCCGCCGCTGCAACCATGACTTGGAGACTCTTCCGTATGTCCTCTGCCACTGCATGCGGTATAGTCGCCTGTACCGGGACAGACACAATGCAGTGGTAGAGCGCATTAAGAAAGCCGCGGCTGGAAGATGGCAAATAATGTCGGAAGACCGTATGATTGATGGTCAGCCCCTACGACCGGACCTGGTTCTTACAAACGGCGACGCCTGCATCATTATCGACGTGACTATCCCATTTGATAACCGCCGCGACGCCTTTGACCGGGCAAGAAGGGAGAAGGAGGAGAAATACCGCCCACTTGTAGACGCCCTCAAGAACCGTTTCAGCAATGTCCGAGTCGAGGCAATAGTGGTTGGGGCACTCGGTTCCTGGGACCCCAAGAACGACCGCGTGGTCAGAAGGCTCTGCTCAAGGAAATACGCCGCCCTCATGCGTAAGCTGGCCGTGAGTGACACCATCAGGTCCTCCCGAGATATATATGTCGAACACGTCACCGGCACCCGACAGAACACCGTCACCGGCTCACGACAGAACACCGTCGCCGGCACACGACATAACACCGCAAGAAGCAACACAGGAGGAGAAAGCAGGAACGACTTGTAAATTGGCAAGAATTCATACGTCGGACTGCACTGATTAATTTTGTTTTATTTGTCGCACGACACACATTAGTTGTGCTTTTATTACAGACTGCAGAGGTTAGTTGTTTACAGATTTTATTAATTGTTAATTGTAAATTTCCTCTACTGAATAGTGATTTGGACGAAACAAACTATGAATAGAAATAAATCGCACTGCGTGCGTTATTGGTGAGACCGCCACGCCTACACCAATATGATGTAAAGTGGCAGTTAACATTTTTCAATAAATATCTGTTCTTATCAGCTTAATTTGCCCACGTAATTTTTTGCTATTTTTACAGTGGTGGATATGCTGAAGGAGTAGAAACCTCGCTTGGAGTGCGGAGCTGATAGCGGAGCCGGAGTGAACCTTGGGTAAGTTTTGCTTTTTCTCTTCTTCCTGTTGACGCTTGATGGTTCGAATACGTTCTTTACTTGCGTTCAACAGAACCCTTTCCTATCCCCCCCTGTGAGCGTGCAGGTTTTTTTTTTGGCTGTTTCCGTTACTGCTGGACTTACCGCAATCGGTTTGTCTGAGTGGTGGGCGGGGCCCTTCTGTCTCTGCCTTCCTTTTGCTAATAGCGACTGTGTTACAGCTCGCTTTAGTGTTGAGAAGGCTTCTTTTCTGTACTCTCTTGCTTTGCGTAGCACGGAGCACTTTTGTAGTGTATCCTTGCATACGTCGAGCCCTCATTTCTTTTCAGTTTCCACTTTCCCACCTATTTTGGTGGGTTTGGTCTTTCTCTTCTCACCTCTTTCCCTCATTCCTTCTTCTACTATCCGTTAAACTCCCCCCCTTTTTTTTTCTTTCTACCAGGTACCTTCGGCTCGGACGAAAGCTCTGACCTCCTGCCTTCCCATTGATCTTAACAAGAGGTCTTTTTTCTTGCTGCTGCTTTGCCTGCCCTTCTCTATTTACAGGATGTCTGGCTCTTCTGACACCGCTGATCCACCGACGCCCTGCCTCCCAGCGCGGACCTTGAGTGGTAGACAACCCGATGGAAGGATAAGCTCCCCACCACGCCTAGCTGCTCGACCAAGACCACGCCCGCCTCCTGCAGTAAGGAGCCCTGGTTCTAGGTCCCCACCACTCACCTCAGGCTTGCTGCCGCTGTCTATGGATCCCTGCGCGGACGTTACCCCTGGAGTCTCAATTCACAAGGAGTTGACTGGACGCCGGGCGAATACTCACGTCTACGTTTGTTGCAGTCCGACCGCCGCAAAGGATGGTGCCACCCCAGAAGGTCTGCCCCGTTCCCGGATGGACGCTGCTTCCACTGGAGGACTCCACACTTCTAAGATCACCGATGGATGCCCTGTTCCCGTTCTCGCCGCTGGTGCGACCTCCGGAGGACAACCCTGTTCCTGGATGATGGGTGCTTCTTCGGACGAAAGACCTCCGAAACGCCATGTTGCCGCCTTCGTTACTCCGACTGGCCCGCCCATCACGAATACAAGTCACATACGTGAACTCCTCGGCATAATTCAGGCCAACCACCAAGCTCGCCGGTCCTCAGATGCCACGCCCTCATCCTTGTTGCAGCCAGGACCACAAACGTCTATTCACTCTCAGGCAGTCGTTGGACCATCCACATCGCCCCTGACTACTGCTGGAACATCATCGACAGCTGCCACTCCCTTACTACCTAACAAGAAATGTGACACATGTGGCAAACACTTCACGAAGACCTCGAAGCTCAAAAGCCACATGAGACTCCACCAGAAGTATGGGACGCAACTAGGACACTCACGTCCACCTGCCGACGCTCCTGCATCGTGCCCTTCTCGTTAGTCCCCGATTGCAAGCCATACGAGGTCAAGATCTGCTGCCAAGCTCACCTCTGCAATACCCACCTCGGCCTCGTCGGCGCCTGACTGCTCAGATCGCGAGGAACCTCCTGCCAGCCTTCCCGAACAGCTCCCGGACAGAGTCATGGACCACAGCTTGCTGACGCTCCCAGAGATCACCTCGAGCTTCACCACCACATCGCCATTGGCTGACCCCGACGTCCTGATCGTCTGCGTCCCACCATCTGAGTCTCTGTCTGACGACACTGCCCCACTGGATGACACTACAGCCGGACTCCACCCGGACGCCCGCCACTTGTACACCTCTGCACGCAGAGAGGAGACACCGCCTGCAACTTCTCAGCATGCCGATGCTCTACCTCCAAGTCCGTCGCCCACTACGCAGCCACGCCCACAGCATGGAACGCCTGTTCTGCCCACCACGCCCCCCGCTCCTGAGATCGGCTGCCCAACTTCGACCTGTCGGATTGGAGCCTGGGTTCACCTGGTATTCCCCGTCGTCGACACCCTCCACTGCACGGAACACCTCTGCAACCGGACTTTCCATTCAAGGACATGGACTCACCTGCGCCACTCCCTGTGCCGCCACCTCCAGTACATCCATGGTATCTCGGTGACAGGTACTAAGAACTGGTGCCGCCACTGCAGCAGAATGATCAATACCCATGTTTCCCTGCATGAGTGCTTCCGAGACCAGCCAGTAATCCTCCCGTCTGGACTGTCACACCGCTGGAAATGCCCAACCTGTGACTTCTCGTGCCAGACTAGAGGCGGTCTGCTGAATCACCAGGCAAGACATCGCCGGGAACGACAACGGGCTGCCGCAACCGAACTCCCACAGTCGACCGCTAACAGTCGACAACGTCGCCGCCGCACAGCTGCTGACTTTCCATCTCCTGAGCAACCCAGCACTGTTGTCCTGGCTCCCTTGTACGCTGACGCAGCGACGTCTGGTGATGTTACACCCTCCTGCAGTGGACTCCCTGACGATGCTCCTCTGGCACCTGTTGCATCCACATCCAGAACAGGACAGGTGCAAGGTACACCACCTGGTCACCACGCTCCTACACCTGCACCACCTCCTGATGGCATGGATAGCTCCTACCAAGATGCCATCCGCTTCTCCCCGTCGTCTACCTCCTTCTCACCACCAGCTCCAGACTATCCAGAGCTGCCAACAGCTGCTCCAGAATTTTCATCCCAGGATTCCGCCGATGAAGCGTCTACTATTCCCATGGATGCAGTGCCTCCCGCTTCTCCACTTGATGTGTTCCATGAACAGCTACAAGAGTTCCCTGCGCAGGGCTACGACGTGCACTGGGACAGCTTCTGTGCACTTCTTGAAGATATTACAGCCGCTGCTGCCACAGAAGTCAAACTTCCCTCTGTCTCCGACTTCTCGGCTGGCAGGCCCCGCCCACCTCCCCGTCCTGACGACCCGAAGGCAATACAGAAGCTTTACAGACGCAACCGACGACGTGCCGTTCGCCTCATCACCGAAGGGGAATCTAGACGCTGCCAAGTTAGCCGTGAGGCAATCGAGGACTTCTTGGAAACACACGCCACAAAGCCCGTGAATGCCTCTATATACGCTCCACGCAACCCAGCTCCTCCCGTGATGGACCTCTCCCCGTTTTCACCTAGTGAAGTTATCAGCCGTCTTCGCTCCTGCGAAAACACTGCACTTGGCCCCCGGACCGCCTCACGTACCAACATTGGAGAACCGTCGACCCAGATGGTACTGCTTTATCTCTTATCTTCAACGTCTGTCTCACTGCTAAGAGGATTCCTACGGCCTGGAAGCAGGCAAGCTCCATCCTTCTCTACAAGAAAGGCAATCCCGACTCCATCGAGAACTGGCGGCCCATTGCTCTAAGCTCTACAATATCGAAGCTATTCTGCGGCTGCCTGGCTCGACGACTTACATCTTGGCTGCTTATGCACGACATCCTTTCACCATCTCAAAAGGGCTTCTTGCCATACGATGGTGTCTTTGAAAATAACTTCGCAGTGCAGCAACGTCTACAACTCGCTCGGAGAACAAAGTCTGACATCTGTCTCGCATCGCTCGACATCTCCAATGCCTTTGGTTCGCTGCCCCATGATGCCATTTTCCGATCGCTCACTGCTCTTGGCACTCGTCCGGACTTCGTAGAGATCATCCAATCTCTCTATGCTTATGCTTCGACCACCTTCAGCACCGACGAAGGACTCACTGACCCGATTCCCATCCTGTCGGGTGTCGGGCAAGGATGTCCACTAAGTGGACTACTCTTTAACATCTCCATCGATCCTGTGCTGCGCGCTATACAAGAATCCACCACTGATCACCGTATTCTAGCATACGCAGACGACCTTCTACTTCTTGCCCCGTCTCCAGATGAGCTGCAGGAACAAATTGACCTGGCATGCACCATCGTTGGAAAAATGGGACTTTCCTTCAACCCCCGTAAATGCTTCTCGCTTCATGTATCTGGAACACGCCCTATCGGCACCAGAGCCTCCACCTTCCTTGTTGCTGGCACACCCATACGTGCCCTCACAGATGGAGAAGGAGAAGAGTTCCTTGGGAAGCCCATCGGTTACCAGCTACCGCAGGACGAAGATGCCCTTGCCGCCTACATCCGTAGCTGCGATGCCATTCTATGCTCCCACCTGGCCTCATGGCAGCGGATCGACGCCATGAAATCCTTTGTGTTCCCCTCCATGGCTTTCGATATGAGGACGGCTCGACTCCCCAAGACTTCCTGGGCCAGAATTGATGACCATGTGGGGCCACTATTTAAAAAGACGCTTAATGTCCCGCCCGAGGCATCCAATGACTATTTGTACGGGGACACGAAATCCGCCTGCCTTGGTATTCCAATTGCTGCCGAGGATTCGGACATCGCAAGAGTTGATGGCGCATTTAAACTGCTCACATCCAGGGACCCCGCTGTACGAGCACTTGCCTGGGACGATCTTAAGAGTTTGGTCACGGCCAGGATCAAGCGCCCTCCCTCATCTGCCGACCTCTCTGCACTCCTTTCCGAATCAGATGAAGATTTCCGTCTAACGTCCGATCCTACTGCCTCCACCTGGTCAGCTGCCAGGAACGCGTCCCGCCGCCTTAAGGTATCGTGGGATGTCTCTGAGGATAACAACGTCACCATCTCACACTCCGGCTACACCATCAACGCAGGAAAGCGACATCTTGTCTTCAAGACCCTTCGGTCGCCCTCCGAAAAGACCGTGCAACTAAACTTCAAACCTACCCCAGTCAAGGCAAGGCGATTGAATGGGCCGCAGCGGACTCCAAGTCTAGCTGCCACTTCTTTCGCGAGGGTAAATATACAAGATTTGCCGATTGGAGATTTGTACATCGTGCGCGGCTCAATCTTGTCCCGCTCAACGCAGTCCGCCGCCGTCGCCAGGGTCAGATGAACTGTCGAAGACGTGGGTATGCAGAGGAAACGCTGCCACATGTGGTATGCCATTGCATGCGCTACATTCGCCAGTTCCAGCAACGGCACGACGCTATTGTCCAGAAATCAAGCAGGCTGCTGCGCAACGATGGACCATTGCTGCCGAAAACCAGCAAATCTCCACCCTCAACCTGCGACCTGATCTTCTCCTGACCAAGGATAGACTGCCCTACTTATTGACGTGACCGTCGCATTCGATAACCGGTTGGCTGCCTTCAACAGTGCCCGACAGTTAAAAGAATAAAAATATGCACCACTTGTGGAAGAGCTCCGCTCCCGGTTTGACGATGTTAGAATAGAAGCCGTGGTTGTCGGTGCCCTGGGGTCATGGGACCCAAAAAATAACCGCGTAATTCACCGCATTTGTTCTAGAAAATATGCGAGCCTACTAAAAAAGCTCATCGTGAGTGACACCCTAAGATCCACAAGGGATGTCTACATTGAACACATCACGGGAGTTCCACAATCAAACCAGCAGCAAGCCCGGGACTACCAAGAAGCTCCGAACCAGAACTAAAACTCTGAGTGATTTGTGCACGCAGGACTTTATATGCGCGTTGTGAATGGACATTAAGATTGCGTGTATATACTGTAGATATTGTACATAATCTGTAAATATTGTAAATATTGTGTATATATCATACTTTCTGATTTCAAATTTTAATGGAACAAAATCGCACTGCGTGCGTTAATGCTAAGTTCTGCCATGGCTTAGCCAATATTCTTGTAAAGTGGCCATAAATATTTAGAGAATAAAAAAGTTCTGTTCTTATCAGCTTAATATCTGATACGACGTCGACATGACGTCAAGATATTAAACTAATTTTTGCAGATAGGCTTGTGGTTAGGAATTTATTCCGCCCTCGCCACGGGTTGGCCTGCTATGGCCCACAATATATCCAAAAAGCAGAAACTTCACTCACCCACTGCATCCTCAGGAAAACGTCCTTTTAAAATGGCCCCTTCAAATTTCAGAAAACCGAAGGTCTGACAACATCATACCTTTGTACGAGTGTGTGCGGCGACCTGCCTTTTTTTAAATTGATATTGCTCGGGCCCCTCGTTCTTTTCCTCGGAATGGGAACATTCTGGAGCCTCGGGTTTAACCCTCGTTCTTTTCAGTGTCAAGTTCTGGTTTCTGTAAATACGAAGTTTTATTCGTATTTACAGAAATCCCATAAAATCCACATTTTGATCCCGTACTCAGAAAACTTACTCATTCTGTCTGACTGATTGAAGGAAGATCGGCCTCGAAATATCACTCAAATTTCATTTGCAGTAACATTTTTGTCTCATTTCATGTAAGTTTGAGAGAATTCCTATTCACATTTGCCAGATCTTTCCCACTACAGCGCGCGTATACACATTGCTTCTTTTCAACACACACGAGCCTTTTTATTGTAAATAACTCTCAAAAGGGTGTGTAAAATGTTTGTAGGCACACTGCAGCAACAAAGATTTTTCTGTCTGTTTCCTAATGTTTTGTTTTGATTCTCTGTATGATTTCTAAACGCCAGCTAATTGTAATGGTCTACAATTATTGTTAACGGATTGTTGTATTTATGTTTTTATTCATTCATTCATTCATTATTTTGTTGGCACATTAATATTAACAAACTTGGGAAAATGCCAATAGATGGCTGCACTATGCAGGAAGCAGTTTATTCTGAGTTTTGAGATGGCTTGCCCGCCCGCTAGTGTGGAAGTGTAGAATACAAAGTAATCATTAATTGTAAATTAAAAAGTACTGTTTTATTGTACATATTACAAATGAATTTGTAAAGTGTTTTTTGTAATTTTTCTGTTTGTTTAATTGTTTTAAGTTCCTAATATTTCACTCTGTGTTTTCAACTGCAACGTTTGAACTGAAGAGAGAGAGAGAGTATCTCTGAGTTGGGAACCATGTGCTGGACTGTGCATGTCGAGTTTGTGTCAATCAAACTCTGGCATTATTTAATGCAGTTTTGGCTGATTAATTTTACTGTATCAATATTTGTTTAATCACAAAAAATAATTTCTTCCCAAACATGGGCATTCGATACCTCCAGGAATATTTATTTATTTTTGGTTTTGCTATTTTTATTGCCTTTGTAATTACATTTGTTTTATATTCACGTGCAGTGAAGAATGAGATTTTTCGGAGGAGGAAGCTACTCCAGAGAAATGAACACTTTCATAAATATTTCATTGTCCTCTTTTCCCATCTGAAAAAAAATTGAGAAAATACGAGAATATTATGTTGCATGGTGCATAAGCTTATAAAAGCTGGAGGAAAACACCGGAATTCAGTTGTTTACTTACTGCTGTTATTGACTGTAGCGATTTCGCGTTGAGATCGGATTAACTTTCTCTACTTTGAATTTTGTTCCGGCCAACGTTTCCGTAAAACGTCCAATATAACTACTGTAAGTTATTGCGATATTGTAGAAATATCTGTGAGGATATTTCAGCATTGTGGTTCATTTGCTGTAGTAAGAATAAAATTGGCAATTGAATCTTGAATGAAATGAACTTTTGACGTCCTTTGCTTTTTAAAACTAGCCCCGCCCAAGGAGGAGGGGTATGACGCCTCCAGAATGGGAACATTAGAAAGGACCGCAAAATGATCCACTTGACTAGACACAAATTGTTCATCCTTGTACACCACTCTTAACAGGAGTTTACATGTGTATGTGTTTGTGTATATGTAATGGTAAGTTAAGTATATGTATTGTATCCTTGCAGCATCATGTATGATTTAAATTTCAAACAGTAATATGTACAAAGTGAATAGCCCTTAATTTGCAGAATAATGTATTAATTGTTATAACTCATTTTCAATGTCTGCATTTGTATTTTGTAATATATATCTAAAACAACATGACATATATAAGTGCAATTGTAAGGTTTATATTTAAAAGGTAATTTGTCAAATACGAGTAGCCGCACAAATTGTTACTACTATTATACAAATTTTGCATATGTATGTTATTGCAATAGACCTACTGTTTGGCGGATAACCAGGTATCTTTAATGTCATAATTCTGTAATGTTATTGTGATCAACTATGTAATTGTATGTTAACCTATGTAAAGATTCTGCCTTTGTTTGGCACTGTACTTTTTTATTCCTGGAAACAAATTAACACTGGACCTGGCATTTTGGCTTAGAGTATTCCTCGGGAGCACTTTGGTCGGCTGGACTGCTACCTTGGATGAATAGGGTGCTGGGTCTGGGCGTCTGGTGCGAGTCTCACGTGTGGCCTTATTTCTGGCCTTGCTCTGGATATTGGAGGACGTGACGCTAAACCAATTAACCATAACGGTAAAGGGATGGTGCCCACGTCCCCCGTTCCTAATCCTAATCCTTGTACACCTCTTTTTTTGTAACACAGCAGGAAGATGAAATAACGACATATCATAAAAAGCCCCCAAGCAGCACTCGCTAACCTGAGTCTTCTGCACCCCCTTCTCCCTTGCACGAATGCTCAGGACTTTTGAAATATGAAAAATTGAAAGTGAATTCATCACGCCACAGAATTCTGCATCGCTTCTCGGCCTTTTGGCTAAGATCAAAGTGTAGTGCTCTTGGTCCTCCAGTATTTTTTACCGGACTGATACTTTTTCATTGAAAAAGTGGTGGACAACGACTAAAGGATGTCGTCGACTCCCCGTCTAGCTGCTCGTCCGAAACCACGCCCACCGCCTGGAGTTCGGAGTCCTGGATCACGTTCGCCTCCCGGAGCTACTGGTGCCACTGGAGCCGCTTTTGGAGTAACGACTGGAGCTGCCCTTGGAGCACATGCTGGAGCCGCCTTTGGAGCGATGACTGGAGCTGCCCTCGGAGCACATGCTGGAGCCGCCCTTGGAGCCAAAGCCGGAGCTGCTGGTGCCAATGGAGCCGCCTTTAGAGCAACGACTGGTGCTGCCCTTGGAGCACAAGCTGGAGCCGCCGTTGGAGCGCAAGCTGGAGCTGCCCTTCGAGCACAGGCTGGAGCCGCCTGTGGAGCCGAAGCTGGAGCCACCTGTGGAGCCGAAGCTGGAGCCGCCTGTGGACCCCTACCTGGAGCTACCTGTGGAGCGCAAGCTGGAGCTGGAATCCCTGATGCCTAATATCGAGTCCCCGGATGCGCCCTAGGAGTTCGCCAGTACGCCGCTGGAACCCCTTTTCGAACCGATGGAGGTCCCGTCGCTTCTCTGAGGTCCACGCCCACCTTTGCTACTACGCATCGACATGTAGCTAGCTGCATTCGTCACACCTACGGGCCCACCTATATGGAGAAGCAGGTAAATTGTGGATCGGATCACGACCTGCCCGAATGGACAGACCACACTGTGCTCCGGCAAATCAAGTTACGCCAAGTCGGAGGCTGAAAAATCCAAGTCCTCTTCAATACCTGAGGGTACCAGGCTAACGTTTGCAGAAGCTGTCGCCCGTCCTGCTGTGCCGCCTCCTAGAGCCGTTTGGACTACCGACCTGGTAAGACGTGTGCAGATATCGCTCCTGGTTTTTGTGATTTTAATAGTGTTTAAAGTGCCGCCGGAAGTGCGCCGATTGTTTCAAAAGGTCTATAAAGGTATTGTGCATCTGTGGATACCTAGTTTATGTGTCTCCGATAAGTGGTTCTCTCAAAATTTGTGTTTTTGTGCCATAACAATGGAATACTAGGCTGCCGCAAATTCAGCGGAAAAGTGTTCACATCTTCTGCCGCCCTACCTACGGAAGTAGTCCCGCCTGCCACCACGTGGTTGCCGAGGTAGGCTTAACTTTTGCACATGAAAAGTCCAGAAATTCATCAATAGTTTTCAAAAATTCATATCTCTGTTAATTTTAATGCTTTTTGTACCAGGTTTTCACTAAAATAGCTAAAATTTATTGTTCTATGTATTAGTATACTTGTTTTTGCTGTAACTTCATTATTTAACGAGATAGCATGTAAATTATTTATTTATACCCACTTTTGATTTATATTGCTCCTGGTATACTAGGCTTAGCTAGTATATTAATTTATCTAAGCTCCAGAGAGTTCGGCCAAGTGGCAAACTATTTTCGAGAACTTTTGAACATTGTCGGAATCCAAAAACTTTTGTCGAAAACCCCTCTCGACATTTGGACTTTTGTCAATATCCCATTCGACAAATGTTTCTTTCTCGATTTTCTTCATTTTCAATGATAAAAACAGTGTTTTAATGCTATTTTATGTTATTTTGTTGGTATAATCATGTTCTTTTATGCAATTTATTATTTTAATTGTGGTTTTTAAATAATTTCATACAATGTACTGGTATTATATTCATCATTTCTGTTTCTCTTGTGTATACTTTGTATTTATAAATTGTGCATCTAAATTTATTGTATCAAATAATATTTTCTGCATCTAATGCTTATTATTAAGTGTTTTCTTATGTATTTTTGAGCTATATTTACCTTGTTTATTATTGTTTTGATATCATGTCGCGTTTTTCTGAATTATCAAGTGAGGTTACTCTTGATGACACTGGTAAAGTTTTAGATCCATTTGCATTAATACACTCTGATTTGGAGTACAGTGACAAAGTTGGTGTATTATATGAAAGTATACGCACTCTTTCAACTACATTCCGAGGTGGTAAAAACATTCTACCCTCTGACTTACGAGAACCATTGTTAAAATCACTAGAAGCTTTTAAACAACTTGCTTTGGAAGGTCCTAGCTTTACTCCTCCACCAACAACAACGGAGATAGGTGTTAACACATCTACTTTAGTCTGTTGTGAACTTATTCACCATCAACCACCAGTGCCTACCTCAGAGCCTACAGTTGAACATCATAGTTCCCATTCTAGCCAACTCCCAATTCCTGGTCTTTCCTACGCTGCTGCTTTGCAACAGAAAAATACTCTAGTTGCTCCTCCACCAACCCTTCTTATCTATCCGAAGTAACAATCTACCAGTCGTAAATTAAAAGAACGACTGGCAAAAGAATTTCCTTTGCCTAGTATTGGAGCTCAAGTTTCAACTATACGGCCCATTCAACGAGGTGGCTTAGCGGTTGTGTGTGCCTCAGAAGAAGACCGTCAGAAACTTACTGTTACGTTGTCTTCAGAAAAAGCTAGCACCATCGTTGATATCAAACAACCTTCTACTAAATTCCCGTTGGTTGCATTCCACAATATTCCCCTTCGTTACACAAGAAGAATTACAAGATACTATACTCTCGGAATTTGGATTAGAAAAAAGTGACGTTAGATTAATTTTTAAATTAAAGCAACGTCGCAATGTTAAGTGGGTCGCAGAATGTAAACCCACAGCCTTCCACATCTTCATGCGACATCCAAAACTCTGTATGGGATGGCAAACCCATCTCATATCAGAGCACTTCAACATCAAGCGCTGCTTTAAATGTCAGAGATTCGGGCATCTCCAAAAGGACTGTCGAAGTAATTCCTATTGTGCCTCCTGTGCAGGCAACCATGACTCTAAGGAATGCACAGCAGACTTCTACAATTGCATCAACTGCATCGACCACAACAATAGCAATCGCTCACTCTTCCCAATCGAACATGCCGCTTTCTCAAACCAATGCCCATGTTATCAGTCCCAGGTTGAACGAATCCGTCTCACCACAACATACCACTAAAGGAGCGATCCATTCTACATTGCAACCTCTTTCACCTACGCTAAAATGTCTTCAAATAAATCTACAAAGGGCTCAAGCTGCCACTACTCAACTCATTGCTTTTGCAACTGACCATAATATAGACATCATTCTGATTCAAGAACCCTATGTGCGCTTTGGAAAACTTATTGGCTTCCCGCTTTCATGGACACTATTCTATCATCAAGATTCTTCCAACTTTCCTCGCGCAGCTATTGTCCTTTGCAACTCACTTTTATCTCCATCTATCTTGTACCTTCAAAGAGATCAAGTCGCCATATTATTGGAACTTGACAACTTTCAAAGCCATCTTAACCTCTCTCTACTCCAGCCCTTCTGAAGACATTTTTCCTACAGTGGATTTTATTGATAAACTCTCCAGAATAGCTCTTCATCAGCATCTCCTGCTCTGTGGTGATTTTAATGCTCACTCCGTTGCCTGGGGATATCAAGATACTGATACGAAAGGTCGTCATCTAGAGGACTACATAGCATCCAAAAATTATATTTTACTAAATTCTCCAAATTCCCTTCCTACTTTTGATCGCCTTTATGCAATAGGATGGCCTGATCTCACATTCACATCGCTTTCTTTTCTTCCTTATATCCAAAATTGGACAGTTCGAGATGATGACAGTCTATCAGACCATCGATACATAACCTTTGAATTAATACATCATAGTACCATTCCTATTTTATTGCGTTACAATCTTCCAGGAAGAAAGATAAAGCAATTTCGCAATAAAGTCCGTCATGATCTTCAACCAATGCGTCGTCATCTCACATCTATTACAACTCCGGAGGAGCTTGAAGAATTTTCAAATTTACTTTTGGTTAACCTTCAGAATATTTGTGAAGAACTTCTTCCCAAGAAGACTACCAAGAAAATACACTCACTACATTGGTGGACCACTGACTTACGCATCCAACAGAAAAAATGTCGAGCCTTACGTCGACGTCTCAAAAGTGAGCGTCGTCAAAATATTACATCTAATACACTGCAACTCTACCAAAGAGAAAGAGCAGCGTATAAAAGAATGATTATCACATCCAAAATTTCTGCATGGAAAAACTATTGCAGCTCTAATACTGAAACTTTTGGCCTTCACTATAAGATTGCCAGAGAAAAACTTTATCAACCTCTGCAACTTTATGTTTCGGATGTTACCAATTCTACAAGTCCTACAAATGCTGCTATACATAATATTTTGGATGCGGTCTTTCCGGATGATGATTTAACATCACATTCTCCTGTTCATTCAATTATGCGTGATAATCATACTTTTTCTTCTACAGAAAATGATGTTGACATTACGGAGCAGGAAATTAAAACCATTCTAAATTACCTTCCAAAAAAACGGGCACCAGGTCCTGATGGACTTAACTATCAAATTATTAAAGTAGCAATCTTATCACACCTGTTCTTCTTCAGAGATTACTTCAACAAATTACTCCATTTTGGACTTTTTCCCCGATCCTTTAAAATGGGGAGAGTAGTTTTATTCTTGAAGAAGGATAAAGATCCACGACTACCAACTTCCTTCAGGCCTATATGCTTGCTTTCAGCATTAGGCAAAATTTTTGAACGTCTCATCATGCAACGCCTAAAACATCATTTACATAAAACTCAGTTTTTAAGTGATGTTCAATTTGGCTTTCGTCCATCTAGATCAACATTGCATATCCTCTCACAAATCATGGAATGTATATACTCCAATAGAAATACTGGCTACCATAGTGCTCTCATCTCAATAGATCTTCAACAAGCTTTTGATACTCTATGGTGGCCGGCTATACTAGATGTACTGAGAAAAGCTCAATGCCCTCAAAATATTTTTAAGATCATGGCAAGCTATCTATCGGATCGTCAACTCTTATACTCTACATCATCTGGTTTTATTAATAAAACTCAAAATAGAGGCTGCCCACAAGGTTCCTGTGCGGGACCAGATCTCTGGAATTTAACCTTTAATTCCATACTTTCAGCTCCCTGGCCCGCACATACCCGTGTTTTCTGTTATGCCGATGATACGGCTTTTGTCGTCTCTGGACGTACCCGAGAAGAACTTCAAAAGAATTCAATAGAAACCTGTAATCTTTTCTCCTCTCGCTGCTCTCAACTTAAGCTTACAATCTCTGACAATAAATCCAAGATTCTATTGATCCCTAAAAAAGGAGGTTCTCTTCGGAGAAGACCATGCATCTCAATTAATGGCAAACGTATTCGTATATTTTCACAACTTAAATTTCTTGGACTTACCATAGATGAAAAACTCAATTGGATAAATCATATTCAGGATATCAAAAAGAAAGCTCTATTAATTTCTACTAAACTTCGTCGGATGCATGGCTATAAATGGGGCATCAACTCCCATATTATAAAAGTCTTATACTTAACAGTCATAGAAAGAATAGCTCTCTATGCAGCTGCAATATGGGCAGAACCTATGCAAGGTAGAAAGGTCCGCTTATTGC